ACCTTTGCGATATACAGCAATGGTATTAGATGAAGAAAACATTTTTTGAATATAAACGTGAAGATTGTGCACAGTTACGAAGATGCATTCTTACGTTTACCGTAACGCTTTAGCCGACGTGGGACTGGTCAAAGAGCTAAAGCTGAACGTCTCAAGCAAAGTAATGATAGTGTATGGCGAGAACATATGGGTATGTCAGCGATTTTCAATGTAGATCATTTTCCCCTTTCCAACTATACGACAAAGGCTTATTGTTATCGGCGTGACTTGTCCTTTTATGTAATACATATGGACGCAAACTTTCGTGTATTTTGCTTTATGTTTCTCTTTTGTTGATTTCTTCTGAATATGTGCTGGTGTTTACACCTTGCTCTCTCACTAACAGAGGTCCATCTGTTTGTAATACATGCTCATTATTGTCGCATTTATACAATGTAATATTGATTCTTTGTTAAATGTTCAATAGTCACTGCCCAACTTCTTCAAGAATCTGAAAGAGTATTGCATAAACTACTTATACACATTTATTGCCACCAGAAGGAGATGAAAATGCGTTCGTAATTCGTACGTATCCTGGGAATATATAAAAATCTTCATGGTTTGAAAGAAGGATTAGATTGTTCTCTAGGATTCAAACAAAGCGGCATCGCTTACTACGAAGCTGATTTGTACACTTACATTTAGGTAATAAGCATATTAAACATACGTAGAACAAGTTCCTATAAACATCAATTGTAACTGTACAAGAGGTTGCCGTATTTATTTATTGCAGTGAATCTCTAAAGATTGCAAAATCATTTTTGTGGTATAATGTATTTGATGATTGTTTAGATGTGTACCTATCGCATGTCGAAATAACTATTGACTACCTTTTCAGAACGTTACTCTAGACGGCGACATAGAGTATCAAGGTAAGGGCTCCCAAGAATCGCATCATCTAATGGATCCAATTAGTAAGTCCCTGGCTTCCAACCTTAATATATGCTTTTTAAAAATGAATACATTCTGCAAGAGTAAACGCTCTGATAGAATTATAAGTGCCTTCGATTTATTGGAAAAGACGTAACGAGAAAAAAGTTCGCGAGTATCATGGTACGCAGCCAAACGTGGAAATGCATATAGTAGGTGGCATATCTGAGTAAATTCAAGGTTTTTTTACAAGAAAATCCCTGGTCCGTAAAAATGGCCCAACTTACGTTCCAAAATGTCTTAATGCATAAAGGTGAACATTTTATTAAAAAGAAGAATTTTTGTAGTTTACCGTGCAATATTTTGTGGTAAAGTAAAACTAGCTTTTAAGAAAAACAGAAATATCTGAAAATTTGAAAAGAGTATAAAAAAGCCTATGTTTTAAATGCATAGGTATTCTCTTCATGCAGAAAGGTGAATGAGTGACGTAGTGCGTTAGGGACATTTTTGGATAAGTGTGATTCCACACTGCGCGCAATATAAGGTCTTGTATATTGCGGAGTCAAAACAGTCCTGGAACGCAGGGAACACATATCACATACATATTTCCAGTTGCTCCTTTATTTCTATCCTCCTGGCGATACGCTAAACTAATTCAGCAGGTTTTGCTGACGCGGACATCACAGGAATATGATATGTAATAAGCTTAGTTGTGGGTACGCTGTGTATTGACTAAAACGTTTGATTATACTTGTAAGCTGCAATCAAAAACATGCAATCTGTGTATATTGACTGAAATTTCCTTTCGTCACATTAATTTTTTAATTATTTAGAGAGTTCGAGTGCGACGAGTTTCAGATTGTTCGTAAAATTCTGCTTAACAGTTTACGAATTTCAGCGTTCTTATTCGCTGGTCGTTAAATACCGATGTTGGTCTGTTTCTTTTCCAAAAACTTCAAAATAAGATATTTCTTAAAATCATTTTAGTAACTAATGAGTTTTTGACATTTCTTTATATGCAGCTGTCTATGTGCGTGATGATTTTGGAATTGTCCAAGCACGTCAACTACTTGACGAGAAAAAGGAACGTTCCCAAAAACGGTCGGAAATGTATAAGCCTAAGATTATTATTTTATAAAGAAACATCCCATAGCACGTTATTTCTTGAGAAAGCGCTCCAAGTTGATACATTGTGTCATTTACATTTTTGAAGGTTAAAATGAGATAAAATGTGAAGTGCTGACCAGTTGCTTGACTTCCACAAAAATAAGGGAAGAATTGTTTCCTTAAAATGGAAGATGATACTTTGTAACGCATGCCGGAACAGTTTTCAGTATATTTGTTTACTGCTGATCCTGTTCTTTGACTGAAAAAGCATAAAATAGTGACAATCTATGGCCTTCGATATTTTTAAATGTGATAATTTTCTGCCTGTTCCATTTCTAGATTTTAAATTCATTGATTCCTTTCCATATGATAAAAATATTTGGATTGGATTCGCATACGGTGTTTCAGAGAAAACCTAAGACATTTCGCGATATCTCACATATGATCGTTTGCGGATTATAATTTCGGGGTAGGAAAACAATGTTACGGTCTCATGAGTTTCTTACTCATATTTATGGCACAAAAAATAACAAACTTGCAAAATAAAATGTCTTTTTCAATTCCTGATAATAATGCATTTTCTCACACGTGCACTTCTCTCAACTTCTGGAAGGTATAGCAAAATTACTGTGCTCTGAACAGCCAAATTAAGAGTTTTATGATCCTTACTAATGTCACTTGATAATACAGCACGGACAAACAAGACGCATTGGTCGGCAGCGTTTAAGAGCGTAGGAAATTACCTGGATATCAACAAACGCAGGATGTGGCCCCTTTCTGCCCCTTATAGTAACATCTGCACGCAGGCCATTCTAATTTTGTGACTGATGCGCCACGAGCGGGTAGTCCAGTCAGCTAACTTTGTCTGTGTATGGTAGAAGTCAACACCTCCCTAAGCCTAGCCGACGAGCAGCAGGCTAATTAGGCAGCAAATGGCCCAAAAACACTTTAATCCGATTTTTGAAATAATAGCAAAAAAACTTCATTTATTTTTGAACTGGGCGTAATCATTTTAGAACTGCTGAAAACACAGAGATTCACCATCACTAACAATTCTTTGTATAATCGGTGTTGCACAGAGTCTCAACAAGACAATAAGAATAACAGAGGTCCTTTGAAGTCCTTTAGGTGTTGGTAAATTGAACAACGTGATAAATTTTTCACTGGAGAAAACGCTTCGTATCGATGGTGGTTTTCGCAAGTACACTATAAACTAACAGTCGTGCAACTTTCATTAATTTGGGAAAGTTTGATCATTACGCGCATACCGCAGTGAACGCATCTATGAAAACCTGGAAATAATAATGAGCAGCATTAGGTATAATTAAAACTTAAAATAAGTATAGGAAGTACTCAGTGCTTGCTAAGAAAAATAAAAATCTTCCCGATAATCTCCAAGTTCTGCAGAAGTTAAAATGGTATAAAACAGAAAAATACATTTAAATATTTTGTTGAGTTGAAATTTTACGTAACCAATGCTTTTATATAGATTGCGAGCCCGAGGTAACTATACAGAAGAAGTTAAAGGCTTCCCGCCAGACCTCGAAACGGCGGATTAAAAAGCACTTGTCTCGTCCTACAATAACATTAACTATATATTATAAGAGATAATGTACAGTCTTTCCTATATAATGCATGTTAATACCCATATATATTACTAATACCTTTTAACCCGACAGGCAGCGAGCATTACAACGGAAAGCCGGTACTACTGTTGACAGGAAAAATCGAAAACACGAATCAGGACTATAAGCAACACCTCACAAATTGGGAAAAGGATCACCTTAAAGTATTGCCTACAAACGGCGATTCTTCGTGGATACCATTTCATGTTTCATTCATCAAGAAGGGCCAAGTGACTGCGGGCCCTTCGACAGTCAAAACTACTACTGCGGCTCCCATTACTGAAAGTACTGTGCCTGAAAAAACCGAGTCTGCGGACACCACGACTGAGAACACTACGACTGCTTTTAATGTTGAGGTAGCACCTAATGCCTCGTTTGGTGTGGTGCAGTCTTCACAAGAAGTGAACGTAAGTCTTTTAATCTATTAATAGTAAGCTTTAGGTGATCTCTTAAATGACGAGTATTTTCGTATTATAGGCAGTAGCCCATGGAGGTTATATGCTGCCAAATAGTCCGCTATCGACTCCGTTTCAGCTCGGAATTGACTGCTGGCAAATGCTAACTTGTAGGCATCTTTACTGCTCCTAGTGTACTTATATAATTTAAACGAATTGTTATCACTCATTAGCTTACTTGTCTTTATTCTGCTCATTCCCACCAATGACGCATACTCAATTATTTTATTTTACATCTTGTAGACCGGCAATACTCACAGCTGTACTACCCGCCAATTGCCGGTGAAGCAACTATACTTTTTATACCAGTAAACCGTTCAATACCTCCTGCTGGTATCATTCTTTATAAGATCGGCTATCCTCTCCCAGGTGAGTTATCATCAGCAGTTTGAACACTGGTATACCTTGGCGATAATGTTATATACAGAAAATATTTTCTAGAAAATTCTGAAGTTGTTCGCAGTTAAGAGGATGTATTTTTACATTTGCTATAACGCTGTAGATAGCGTGGGTCAGGTCACAGAGCTCAAACTGAAAGTCCCAACCAAAGTGTAGATAGTGTATGGCGAGGACGTAAAGGTTTGTCAACGACTTTGAATATAAATTCCCTTTCCCCTTTCCAAATATGCGATTTAGGCTTATTACTATCGGCATCAGTTTTCTGTTAAGTAATGCATATGAACGCAAAAGTTCGCATGTCTTCCTTTGCTGCTTTTCTTTAAATTTATGTTAGTACTGACGCTTTTCTATTTCCAGAAAACACGTAAAACATGTTCATGATTGTCATATGTACGAATTGTCATAGTGATTCTTTTCTAGGTGTCCAGTAGTCATTCCCGAGTTCTTCAGAAATCTGATAGTACATTGAGTAAAATAATTATAAACTTTTGCTGCAATTAGAACGAGATGGAATTGCGTTCCTAATTCGTACATATCCAGGGAATACCTAAGTATCATCATGGTATGAGAGTAGGATTCGATATTTCTCTACGATGCAAAAAAGCAGTGTTGCTTACTATGCAGTTGAGCTCTAAGCTTACATTTCAGCAGTAAGCACATAACATAAGCTTAGAAAAAAAATCCTCTAAGCACAACCTTTAACGGTAATAAAGACTGCTGTTTTTATGTATTACAATGGATAGTGTGTCATAACAAACGAATATCTTAAGATGACAATATCGTTCTTGTGTTATAATGTATTTGATGATTGTTTAGGTGTGTACCTATCACATGTAGAAATAACTGTCGACACATTTTTTCCAGGAAGTAAAGATAAATGGAGACATACGGTGTTACGGGTTCAGTCGCCCAGATCGCCATTAACTAATGGATCCCATTCGTAAGTCCCTCAACTTTAACCAAAGTATACGCTTTTTCAAACTGAATGTATCCTGAAATGGTACACATAATTATAAGCATTGTCCAGATATGCGAAAAGACGTAACGAGGAAACACACCGCGAATATCATGGGAAGCCACCAGGAAACATTTAACAAATGCGAGGTTAATTATGAAAGTGGACTTAAAGGGAACAGAATTTGGGTTTTTAGATTGTGAGCGTTATTCATAGAAATTTCTGCACACCACCAATTCCTGCTTATGAGTATCACATTGCCCTATAAAATCTACAAATGTTCCACTTCATTGTTATATGTACACAGATCGAATATTTAAAAGGAAAAAGGAAACTTAAATCAACATTTTTAAATTTCATATATAATAAGTAAGCCATACCAACTACGGGTTTAGTCAACTTATGAATACCGCTGCATCTCTTTGCATGTTATGCCGATTCCGTGGCAGATGCGTCACGAGCGGTTAGTGTACTCAGTGGACATTTTCTATTTGCCACCGGTAGAAGTCAACACCTTCCTAAGCCAAACCGACTGGGTGCACCCTATGCTACCGGCATATATTTCAACGCAGTTTCATCCGATTCTTAAAATAATTTCAGAGAAAATGTTTTACGTATTGCAGCCCATGTACCACTGATCCCACTGTTTCCTTCTAAGGAAACGGTGGTTTTACGGGTTAAATGGGTGAGGAATTAGGATAAGCAGTGGAACGTACCCTAATAACTACTAATTGCATTTTTTTAATTTCATTACACTAAGAAATGATGTTCACACATTCCTGTGAATTTTCCTAACCTACATTTCGTTTAAATGTCATGCTATGGAACCGTATGACAAATCATCTGTCGAATGAAATAATAGTCGATTTCGGTTATAAAGCCTACCCATATATATATGGATGTGTAGCAAATTTCTATAATATGGCGAAGTGGAAATTTTCCGATTGCTTATTCTGTGTACAAACTTTATGTATGCTACGAATATATATAATAACATACCCACCTCCAGTGTTGTCACTGAAATCGCTGCTGAGACCCTTGTTTTGAGCTCGCGATCTCTCTGGTCAGGAAGAACGTCCTAAGCGTTGCGCTGTAAGATCACGGTCTTGCCGGTATTAGATCGCGGTCATACAGTAACATATATGCGTACACCGATCTGTCGGAGGACACACTCATTCGTCCATGTTGACACAAGAGCTCTATAGCCACCTCGTGGTGGAAGTTTGAGTGAGAGCTCCAATGGCAACATGGAAGGACGAGTGGGTCCTCTGACAGATCGGTGTACGCATATCTGCTACTATATAATATCATGTATTCTGAGGGGCCTAGAAGATGAGAGGCCAAGGTAACGGAATAGGAGAGGCTAAGGGGTTCTCACGAGTATTTGAAACGTCGTAAGAATAAACCACGGGTCCTCTCTTCTAATAACGCGCATTTTATATTATAAAATATATTGTAAACATTTTACTACATCATCTATATTAATAGACACCCATCTTCTTAATACGTTGCAACCCGACAGGCAAGGAATATTACACTGGAATGCCGATACTACTACTGACAGGAAAAATCAATAATACATAGCAGGACAATAGAGTACACCTCAGCAATGGGAAAGGGGATCACGTTAGATTATTGCCCACGAAAGGCAGTTCTTCGTGGACACCATTTCATGTTTCATTCACCAAGAACGAACCGGTGACTTCGGGTCCTACAACAGTCAAAACTGCGACAGCGGATCCCGCAACTTAAGGTAGTGTGCCTGAGTCTGTCGACACCACGTCTATGGTAACCGCAACTAAGGGCATTGTGCCTGAGGGCACTGAGGCGGCCGATATCTCGACTGCGTCCCCCGCCACTG